TTCCGCAATTCAAAAACTCGGTAAAAATTACTGACTTGATAAGTGCGTACTGATGTATGGTTGGTGAAGAGGCTAGTATGTGGAGGGTATTCTCGGGCTAGTGAATGCCACCCATCCCCACTTATAATTCAGTAATACACAATTTATTCATTTCTGTTTGAAATGTTTACAAAGTTTGACAAACAGAAATGAGCATTGCAGTGTAGTTACCAATTTTCCAAGTCAAAGACTTCAGATAACTGTTCAAAGTCCCAGATTATTTATAACGGAATCGTAAACTTCGAGTTTTCTAGGGAGTTGATCTCGAGCACTTTTGTGATTTTAGGCACTAAATTGTCATCACAGTTTTGTTATTGCATGTTTTCCGGTAGCAGATAATGGACTCCTGGAAAAAGCGAAGTGAAACCAGAGCCCGAGGTTCTGAATCATATCACCTTAAAACAATTTCTATGTAAAGATCCCTTCAGACCGATCACGTTTGTCATAGTGGTCTTTGTTTTTTTGTTCATGATTCCGTTATAAAAAATCTGGGACTTTGAACAGTTATCTGAAGTCTATGACTTGGAAAATTGGTAACTACACTGCAATGCTCATTTCTGTTTGTCAAACTTTGTAAACATATCAAACAGAAATGAATAAATAGTTTATTACTGAATTATAAGTGGGGATGGGTGGCATTCACTAGCCCGAGAATACCCTCCACATACTAGCCTCTTCACCAACCATACATCAGTACGCACTTATCAAGTCAGTAATTTTTACCGAGTTTTTGAATTGCGGAAATCTTCGGTAAAATTTAAAAAAATCTGTGAAAAATTCAAAGTTGAGAAATGTGTTACCAAAATTTACAGACTAACTTCTGTTAACCCCGTGTAATGATGAAAAATAAAAAAAATCGATTTTATCCAATCTTTACGAATAACAGTCGTTTGAATTTAACCGAGTCAGTAATCCAAAAATCCAGTAAAAATACTAACTCCTTTAAAAAAATCTAAGTGTGTATGCAGAAGCAGCGGAGTTGCATGCTCCTCCATCGAAACAGCACCGCAGCTGAGCTGCGAGTGCTATGAAATAAAAAGTACATCGACTTATTACCACTACCTACTTCTCTCCCTTCCGCTCTCAGAACTCGCCGATTCGGTGTCTCTCGTTGTGTTTTCTGCTGAGACTGAGCAATATTCGATACCGCGAAACATCTCCGCAGTTATGTTTTCTTTCGGCGCAGGAGATGTGCGGTAATCAAAAGTTAAGAATGTAGCTAAACATTTACAATAACATTCTAACAAATTTTCATGTGCGTAGTCCACTGCAACAGCCGAACGTACGAACGAATAGGGTGACTATAGCGCATTTTATGAAAACGTCACAAGTTTTTATGGCTGTTTTAAATCAATAATTACGAAGAAACCATAAAGCCTACAAGGTTACTACCAAAGACACAAATCTAGGGAACTGCATGGAGAATGTTTTGTAGAACAACTAAATAAACAGAAATGAAAATATTCAACTTAAAAACACTAAAATGTATGAAATTTCACCAGTTTTTTCGGTACTTTCAAAATACTTTTCAATTTTAATGTATGATAATTAACTTAAATCGAGTTCTTTTCTAGAAAGCATTGATAGCTAAGACTTTAATCATTCATTTGGTATGTTGAAATCAGAAAACCACATTAAGATTAAAAAAATATAGCTAACCAAAGTTGGCAATACAAAAAAACATAAAATGTTGAATAACTCACTTAGCAGTCATTTCCGACCCTATGTTTCATGGGGATTTTTTCATAACTTTAGGAGCCCTATCTACCCTGAAAATATGTAAAACCCGGAACCAAACACCCTGTATATTATTCAGTTTGCATGCATGCATCATTCCCCAGAGACATTTGTACCTAGAAGTGGTATTTTTATCATTTGTGATGTGATTACTAAAAGTAAAATGTGCGTTAAATCGGAAAACCAAGAGTAAAGGGAACGTATAGTGTGATTCTTCGCAAAATGTTGAGTTCTCAAAACTAACACAAACCGCATAGTTCATTTATAAGAGGGACTAATTCAAAATTAAATTGTTTTTCAGACAGTAAAGCTACTCAGATTCATCAAACAGCTTCAAAATTTATCGTGAGAGTGGTATGATTAAATTTGGATTGCAGGTATCATTTGACCTATAAGTTGAATATTTCAGTGCCTTGACTAAAACGCATTTTTTTGGGGTGTCATTTACCATCAAAAAAAGGAATCCATTACAGTATTCTAAGAGTGGTAGGTGTAGCTTTTACATAAGTTTGCATCAGCCACACTGATCCAACCTTGTTCGAACCTAGTGAGGTTATTTTTTGTTGGGGGACCATTGCGTCCATTATTAACCTAGTGAGGTTCCACCGTCAACGAATGGTGGGAGATTTGATTTAGCCTCCCCCGTGCCAACCATGAGCCGTGTACCGATACAAGCACATGCACTCGGGTTTTAATAATGAATGTTTTCCATGTTTCACGGTTCTTCCTTCTCCTACCAGTTGCGCCATCTGCGCGTCCAACAAGTCAGCTCCTGGGTGCCCCTTTGGGATCGGACGTGCAATTGGAGTGCTCCGTGGAAGCATCGCCCATGCCGGTGTCCTACTGGTTGAAAGGTGGACGCGTACTGCCCACCAACTTTGCCGGCATCACTAATGGCAATTACGAAGCGGGTCAGTCGAGACCGGAAATGCTGCTCGATGGGTAAGGTCAAACGATTCATCCAGTTGGTGCGGCGGAAGAGTTTTCCCCCTTTTATGCCGATACGATCGATTTGATTCTTCGACTGATGTAACCTTTACTTTTTTTTTATCACCACTCATTCTAGGCCGAAATACGGAATCACTGAAGAGCGACACGGATTCCGGACAAATATGCGCCTAGTGGTGCGGTTTTTTTCACCAAATGACGTCGGCACCTATCATTGCGTTAGTACCAACTCGCTGGGAAGGGCCGACGGTACGATGAGACTGTACGGTAAGTTGATGGCGCCATCCGAGCTGTTTGTGATCGACCAAACTTTATTCCCTTTGTCGCTTTTTTCTTCCTGTTCTGTTGCCACTTAGTTACTTATTCCATCGGTGGGTGGAACTGTCTTATGGCTGTGGGTTTTTATTTTCCTGTCACGTCCTATATTGGTACACTTTACCGGTGGTGGTGCCGTCGTAGGAAGTGTATCAAAAGCATTTTAGCTGACTGGTATAAGAACTTGGCAAAATGTAATTCGGCTAAGGTGTTTCGCTAACGTATCGTTGGCATTGTCAATTTCTGGCCTAGGGGGAATTGCGCCACCAATTCCGACAACGAGTGAGTGGCCGGCTGGAGTGGGACATGACATGTTCATAATTTATTGATTGGTTACACATTTCGGAAAGTTCGTTTCTATGACTGGCTACGATGACGATTACATATCGGCCGGCACTAACTTTGTTTCCGATCAACGCAAACCAATTACATCACAAAGTTTTGTTTGGGAGTTTTTTCAAGAATGTGTTGTTGAGATCTGTGTATTTCAATTAGTATGTAATTGATATAGCCTTGGACTTTCTTCAAAGATCGGAAAATCACTCTCAAATCTCATTGATTGAGTTCTCCTAATAGAATAAACTTGCGTGCGAATCTACAAACCAAAGCTCACGCTTGAGATTCTCAAGCATTTTCACGCACTCATACTCACAACGCCAAACCACACGCTATTTCAAAACTACCCACATTTGGGTAGAATCCACCCACATCGGTCAAAACTGGACCAACCGAAAAATGGGTAAACTAAGTTGGGAGTGACAAGTTGACAAATGGAAAACATCGACCTGAATCCGATCGTTGTTGTTCATTTGTCGACTTGTCCTTCCCATCTTAGCTTACCTGTTTTTGGGTAGGTTCAGTTTTGGCCTGTCTGGGTGGATTCTTCCCAAATGTTGGTAGTCTTTAAATAGCGTGCAAGTTAAAACTCATAAAAACCGCTCAAAATTTAAAAGACAATTTTACGAAATGACAGAGGAGCGTTTGCCTGACAGAATTTGATAATATTGATGTTAGGTAACTGTCTCCTGGGTATTTTTAATATTATTTTCGGACAAGTTGGGCCGAAGGGTCTCCGATTTCAATGAAATTGTGCCCATAGGTAGAGCTCATGGAGATATATGACCAACAAAAAAAAAAGTCAGGGTTGTCGACTTTCCAGGAAAACTAAAGTAAAAGTTTTTCGATATTCTCGGACACCACCAATTTCAAAAAATCACAACTTTTGAAGCAAGCATCGCACAGTCAAAATTAATACTTGAAAGTTACTTATGATTTTGCCAGATATTCATAAAAAAAATACAATTGAGTCAAAAATCTCATGAATATTTTCACCAGAAATGAAAATCAAAATGAAAAGCCCTGAAAAATATCTGCATCATGGATAATTTTTATCAAAAAAAAAATAAAAGCTCGCAAATTTATAAGCTTTCTTCGGTAAAATAATTTCATCAACTGATCGCTATACTACATCCGACTCCAATCACTTTGGCGCTCAAAATGCTTCCATAGTGCTTGCTTCATAATAGCGCAGTATTTTTCGATGGGTGGTTCCGGTGCGTTGAGGGGGGGGGGGGGGGTCATGTCCTTGGGTACGAAGCTGTCAGCCCGTTGGTTTCGTCCCGCTCCATGACAACGTTTGAATAGTGGCACGAAACATGATCCGGCCAGAAGATTGTAGAACTTTCGTGTTACTTTAACAGAGGAAGCAGACGCTTCTGTAGACACTCCTTGAGGTAGATCTCTCCGTTTACAGTACCGGTAGTCACGAACAGCGCACTCCGTTTGCCACATGAGCAGATCGCTTGCCAAACCATTTATTTCTTGGCAAACTTTGAAAGTTTCTGCTTCCTTATTTCCATCAACATCATCAAACTTGTGCTGGGCGGTAGCCCCGGAAGTCCGCCTTGATCCCATAATGAGACAATGAGGCTTCGTCAGCATCTGGGTGTGCAGTTTCCGGGCTCGTGACTTTCCCACCGTATTTTGCCGTTTGTCACGATTTGAAGCATTCTGCACTTTGTACGTATACAGTCCCTCCCGGTCTTTGGCTCCCTGAACGAAAGACTTGGATAGATTAAACTTTTGGCCACATCCCTGACCGAAGCAGAGTTTCGTACTAACGTTTAATCACACGACTCACCGTTGACTGCACGATTCCGAGTTGCTTTCCGATATTCCGATGAGAGAATTGGCCTTTTGATTTGGATAAGATTCCAATTTTTTTCCAATATGAGATAGAAAATGTGCATGTTAATTTTCTCAGGAATTTAAAAAACTGATTTTTCTTGGATTTTCTAGAATGGGTTCCTAAAACAATCACATGTTTACATATTTTTTGAATTTTGAGTCCAAATACGTGCCATGATGACATAGATTTTTATTTTACTTTAATACAAAGAAAAAGAAAAATTTCTTCTCTTCCGAAAAGTCAAAATTTAGTTTCTTTTCGGGTTTTTAAGCTTCTTCTTAACATCAGAAAAATTGCAAGAAACATAGTTTTGACAATTTCATGATAATTCCAAGAATTTCAAGGAACTTTTGATCACTTCAGAATAGCTCTGAGAACTTAATAAGTCCAGAACTTAGGGAAAATTTTAAGATCCTTTATTAACTGCCAACAGTCCGAGGGCTTTTCCATAAATTTCTCGAAACTTTTATGAACGGTTCCATTAAATTTAGCAAAACTACTGGAACGTGAACTTTGTGTCTGTTCTGAGAACAAATAACAAAAAAAAACCATGAATAACATGAAAATTGCGGGAACTTCAGGAAAATTCCGAGAGCTTCATATATACTTCGAGAATTTTAAGACAGCGTGAAATTTCATAAAATTATACATTTTTTGGCAAACTCAAGAAGTTCCTAAATAAATGAATGAGATCATCTGACAAACTCAACGATCTTAAGGGCAGTTTCAATAACTTCAGGAAAGTCCAGAATTTTGGGAGAGTTTAAAGATCCGTGAAAAATTTCTTTAAATTCACGAGAACTCCATGAATTCTAGGGAAAATTTGAGAAACTTAAGTTCATAGAGCTCCTGAGAAATTTACAAAACTTCATACATGCTTTGAAAACATAACAGAAGTCCAGACATTTTCAGGGAACATCTTAAGGTGTAGAACTTTATGAGAACTGCACAAACTTCAATGTAGCTTCAAAAACATCAGAGACGATCAGATACTTAAGCAAAGTTCTCAGATCTTCAGAGAAGTCTTGACAACTTTAGAGATTTTTTTTAGGCATTTTCATTATTTTTTGGAATTTTTTTATTTGTTTATTTGTATATTGAAAAACTCAACTGTCAAATGTTGTCTTAATGAATAAAACTTAAACTAAATAGTTGCAATCAAAGGGTACGGAAAATGCCAAGTAACCGATGACGAAACACGTCAGTTGATACATTGAAGTCGAACATATAGAAGAAGTTGTTGAATTGTCGGCTGAATGCACGGATTGGCTCGTGTCGTGTATAATTTCGGTGCAGTGGTTCCAAAAACAGAAAGTCGCTTTGACGAAGAGACCTCTCAGGGGCATACATATGTAGCTGAATGTTTAGAATGTTTAGAGTTTGATCATAGATCTTCAAAGCAGTTTATTCAATTAAAGGGTGATACGGTCAAAATTTGGTCAAGGGAAAACGCGTGTAAATCGGTGAAATCGTTTATTTAAAAAATCAAATTAAATTTCTTTTTCAAGTTCAATTAGTATAAAATTCAGGAAAAATATTCAGTTAGGCTTCCGCTTTTCCAAATCCGAATTGCCGGGCCTTACGCTTGACCCCTGCCATCAGATTTTGTACAGCCACCTTGTCCACCTTCTTCGCCGCAGAAAGCCTTGAACTGCTGCTCGCCCTTAGCAGTTTTTTTGGTCTTCTTTAGGTTCCGCTTGACAATAGCCCAGTATTTCTCAATTGGGCGGAGCTCTGGCGTGTTGGGAGGGTTCTTGTCCTTGGGAACCACCTGCACGTTGTTGGCGGCGTACCACTCCATGGCCTTTTTACCGTAATGGCAAGATGCCAAATCCGGCCAAAACAGTACGGAACAACCGTGTTTCTTCAGGAAAGGCAGCAGACGTTTATTCAAACACTCTTTCACGTAAATTTCTTGGTTGACAGTCCCGGAAGCTATGAAAATGCTGCTTTTCAAGCCACAGGTACAGATGGCTTGCCAAACCAGATATTTCTTTGCGAACTTTGACAGTTTCATGTGCTTGAAAACATCTGCTACCTTTCCCCTTCCTTTTGCCGTATAAAACTCCTGTCCCGGAAGCTGCTTGTAGTCGGCTTTGACGTAGGTTTCGTCGTCCATTACCACGCAGTCAAACTTTGTCAGCATCGTCGTGTACAGCCTCCGGGATCGCGCTTTGGCCGTCGTATTTTGTTTATCATCGCGATTTGGAGTCACTACCTTCTTGTAAGTCGATAGTCCGGCTCGTTTTTTGGCTCGATGCACGGTTGTAGACGATACACCCAGCTTATTTGCGGCATCTCGGAGAGAGAGGTTAGGGTTTCGCTTGAAACTACCGGCAACTCTCTTTGTCGTCTCAGCGGCTTCCGGTTTTCGATTTCCCCCCGATTCAGACTTCCTGGCTGTCGACAAACGTTCCCCAAACACTTTAATTACATTTGTAACGGTTGATTTGGCAACTTTTAGCGATTTTGCCAACTTTGCGTGCGAGTAGCTCGGATTTTCGCGATGCGCGAGCAAAATTTTGACACGCTGCTCTTCTTGCTTGGACGGCATTTTGACAACTGAAGAGTGAATTCCAAAATCAAAATAGGAGCAACATTCTACACACACACACACCTTCAAAATGAGGGGTGTTCAGGTTTTTAAATGCAAAATTGAAAGAAATACGTCAAGTTGATATTGACCAAATTTTGACCGTATCACCCTTTAATTGCTGGAACTTTCAAGAATTTTCCAGAAATTTTAAATAATTTGAAAATGTTT